TGGCAGGTGGCAAGCGGCCGACGTTCCTGCTCATCCAGGCCCTGCTGCACCTGCTGCCTCCGTTGCTCAGTAGCACTGCTGCGGAGGTGGGAGGGGGGAAAGACTCATGCTGCCACAGCTGCATTTGCCAGCCGTGAGCCCGCCACCTGGTGCCCATTGGTCAACTGAGTGGTGCTCCCACTGTGGAAGCACACTGACCACCAGGGGTCAGCTCCTGCAGTAAGCGTCTACCCCCTGGTGGTCAGTGCATGTCATAGCTACTGGCTGGTCATCTGATCCTCCAGTCGTCTGGTTGACCGGTCTCTTAGGCTTTATCCATTATCTGAAGGACTTCATAAAATTTCTAGTTCAAAATTACAAGTAATGTTTGCTGAATCAAAATTATAAGTAACTAGAGGCCCAGTGCATGGATTCGTGCACTGGCGGGGTCTCAGCCTGGCCTGCACCTTCTACCAATCCGGGACTCCTCAGGGGATGTTGGAAACTGGCAGTCTGACATCCCCTGAGGGATGCAGTATTGCGTGAAGCGGCAGGTGGCAGGCGGCTGATGTTCCCGCTCATTCAGGCCCTGCTGCACCTGCTGCCTCCATTGCTCAGTAGCACTGCTGCGGAGGTGGGATGGGGGAAAGACTCATGCTGCCACAGCTGCATTCGCCAGCCATGAGCCCACCATCTGGTGCCAGTTGGTCAGCTGAGTGGTGCTCCCACTGTGGAAGCACACTGACCACCAGGGGGCAGCTCCTGTGTTGATCATCTGCCCCCTGGTGGTCAGTGCACGTCATAGCTACCGGCTGGTGATCTGATCATCCAGTCGTCTGGTTGACCGGTCTCTTAGGCTTTTATATATATAGATGTTTGGCTCCCTGAAGACATGCACAATGTAATTTAGTGACCATACTGTTAATTAAGCAATTTTGCTCTATGAAGTATTAACAATCCATGATTTAGAAATTTTATGGCCCTTGAACTAATTTAGCTGTGGCAGAATGTGTAAGATAAAACTGTTAAAAAATCATGATTCTTTTCAGTGATGAATTCTTTTTGTCAAGAAAAATTTTTTTAAAGTACCTGTCTTTGCATTACAATAATTAATAAGAATATT